GGCCGCGCCGGCCCGCGGCGAGAAGGCGGAGAAGCCGGATGACTCGGTGTGAGGAAGCTCGGCCTGGTCAGCCTTAGGCTTGGCTCCTTAAAAGATACATTTTGCAACCAGTTGAAACATATTGCTTATTCCACCAAAACAAAGGGAAATTTTCAAAGATACATTTTGCAACCAGTTGAAACATGTTGCTTATTCCACCAAAACAAAGGGAAATGGTCAAAGATACATGTTGCAACCAGTTGAAACATGTTGCTTATTCCACCAAAACAAAGGGAAATGCTCAAAGATACATGTTGCAACCAGTTGAAACATGTTGCTTATTTCACCCAAACAAAGGGAAATGATCAAAGATACATGTTGAAACCAGTTGAAGCACGTTGCTTTTTCCACCAAAGCAAAGGGAAATGGTCAAAGGTACATGTTGCAACCAGTTGAAACATGTTGCTTATTCCACCAAAACAAAGGGATATGGTCAAAGATACATGTTGCAACCAATTGAAACATGTTGCTTATTCCGCCGAAACACAGGGAAATTGTCAAAGATACATTTTGCAACCAGTTGAAACATGTTGCTTATTCCACCAACACAAAGGGAAATTGCCAAGGATTCATGTTGCAACCAGTTGAACCATGTTGCTTATTCCACCAAAACAAAGGGAAATGGTCAAAGATACATTTTGCAACCAGTTGAAACATGCTGCCTATTCCACCAAAACAAAGGGAAAGTGTCAAAGATACATGCTGCAACCAGTTGAAACATGCTGCTTATTCCACCAAAACAAAGGGAAATTGTCAAAGATACATGTTGCAACCAGTTGAATCATGTTGCTTATTCCACCAAAACAAAGGGAAATGGTCAAAGATACATTTTTGCAACCAGTTGACACATGTTGCTTATTCCACCAAAACAAAGGGAAATGGTCAAAGATACATGTTGCAACCAATTGAAACATGTTGCTTATTTCACCAAAACAAAAGAAATGCTCAAAGATACATGTTGCAACTAGTTGAAACATGTTGCTTATTTCACCAAAACAAAGGGAAATGATCAAAGATACATGTTGGAACCAGTTGAAACACGTTGCTCTTTCCACCAAAACAAAGGGAAATGAACAAAGATACATGTTGCAACCAGTTGAACCATGTTGCCTATTCCACCAAAAGGGAAATGGTCAAAGATACATTTTGCAACCAGTTGAAACATGCTGCTTATTCCACCAACACAAAGGGAAATTGTCAAAGATACATTTTGCAACCAGTTGACACATGTTGCTTATTCCACCAAAACAGGGAAATGGTCAAAGATACATGTTGCAACAAGTTGAAACATGTTGCTTAAATCCACCAAAACAAGGGGAAATGGTCAAAGATACATTTTGCAACCAGTTGAAACATGTTGCTTATTCCACCAAAACAAAGGCAAATTGTCAAAGATACATTCTGCAACCAGTTGACACATGTTGCTTATTCCACCCAGACAAAGGGACATAGTCAAAGGTACATTTTGCAACCAGTTGAAACATGTTGCCTCTTCCACCAAAACCAAGGGAAATGGTCAAAGAGACATTTTGCAGCCAGTTGAAGCATGTTGCTTATTACACCGAGACAAAGGGAATTAGTCAAAGATACATTTTGCAACCAGTTGAAAGATGCTGCTTATTCCACCAAAACAAAGGGAAATGGTCAAAGATGCATGTTGCAACCAGTTGAAACATGTTGCTTATTCCACCAAAACAAAGAAACTTTGTCAAAGATACAGTTTGCAACCAGTTGACACATGTTGCTTGTTCCACCAAAACAAAGGGAAATTGTCAAAGATACATTTTGCAACCAGTTGAAACATGCTGCTTATTCCGCCGAAACAAAGGGAAATGGTCAAAGATGCATGTTGCAACCAGTTGAAACATGTTGCTTATTCCACCAGACAAACGGACATGGTCAAAGATACATGTTGCAACCAGTTGAAACATGTTGCTTATTCCACCAAAACAAAGGGAAATTGTCAAAGATACATTTTGCAACCAGTTGAACCATGTTGCTTATTCCACCAAAACAAACAAACTTGGTCAAAGATACAGTTTGCAACCACTTAACACATGTTGCTTGTTCCACCAAAACAAAGGGAAATTGTCAAAGATACATTTTGCAACCAGTTGAAACATGCTGCTTATTCCGCCGAAACAAAGGGAAATGGTCCAAGATACATGTTCCAACCAGTTGAAACATGTTGCCTATTCCACTAAAACAAAGGGAAATGGTCAAAGATACATTTTGCAACCAGTTGACACATGTTGCTTATTCCACCAAAACGAAGGGAAATGGTCAAAGATACATTTTGCAACCAGTTGAAACATGTTGCTTATTCCACCAAAACAAAGGGAAATTGTCAAAGACACATGTTGCAACCAGTTGAAACATGTTGCTTATTCCACCAAAACAAAGGGAAATGGTCAAAGAGACATTTTGCAACCAGTTGAAACATGTTGCTTATTCCACCAAAACAAAGGGAAATTGTCAAAGATACATTCTGCAACCAGTTGAAACATGTTGCTTATTCCGCCAAAACAAAGGGAAATGGTCAAAGATACATTTTGCAACCAGTTGACACATGTTGCTTATTCCACCAAAACGAAGGGAAATGGTCAAAGATACATGTTGCAACCAGTTGAAACATGCTGCTTATTCCACCAAAACAAAGGGAAATGTTCAAAGATACATGTTGCAACCAGTTGAAACATGTTGCTTATTCCACCAAAAAATAGGAAATGGTCAAAGATACATGTTGCAACCAGTTGAAACATGCTGCTTATTCCACCAAAACAGAGGGAAATGGTCAAAGAGACATGTTGAAACCAGTTGAAACATGTTGCTTATTCCACCAAAACAAAGGGAAATTGTCAAAGATACATTTTGCAACCAGTTGACACATGTTGCTCATTCCACGGAGACAATGGGAACTAGTCAAAGATACATTTTGCAACCAGTTGAAACATGTTGCTTAAATCCACCAAAACAAGGGGAAATTGTCAAAGATACATTTTGCAACCAGTTGAATCATGCTGCTTATTCCACCAAAACAAAGGGAAATGGTCAAAGATACATTCTGCAACCAGTTGAAACATGTTGCTTATTCCACCAAAAAGGCAAATGACCAAAGTTTTCCACCAAAACCAAGGGAAATGGTCAAAGAGACATTTTGCAACCAGTTGAAGCATGTTGCTTATTACACCGAGACAAAGGGAATTAGTCAAAGATACATTTTGCAACCAGTTGAAACATGTTGCTTAAATCCACCAAAACAAAGGGAATTGGCAAAGATGCATTTTGCAACCAGTTGAAACATGCTGCTTATTCCACCAAAACAAAGGGAAATGGTCAAAGATACATTCTGCAACCAGTTGAAACATGTTGCTTATTCCACCAAAAAGGCAAATGGTCAAAGATACATTTTGCAACCAGTTGAAACATGTTGCTTATTCCACGAAAACAAAGGGAAATGGTCAAAGATACATGTTGCAACCAGTTGAAACATGTTGCTTATTCCACCAAAACCAAGGGAAATGGTCAAAGATACATTTTTCAACCAGTTGAAACATGTTGCTTATTCCACCAAAACAAAGGGAAATGGTCAAAGATACATTTTGCAACCAGTTGAAACATGTTGCTTAAATCCACCAAAACAAAGGGAATTGGCAAAGATGCATTTTGCAACCAGTTGAAACATGCTGCTTATTCCACCAAAACGAAGGGAAATGGTCAAAGATACATGTTGCAACCAGTTGAAACATGTTGCTTATTCCACCAACACAAAGGGAAATGGTCAAAGATACATGTTGCAACCAGTTGAAACATGTTGCTTATTCCACCAAAACAAAGGGAAATTATCAAAGATACATTTTGCAACCAGTTGAAACATGTTGCTTAATTCCACCAAAACAAAGGGAAATTGTCAAAGATACATTTTGCAACCAGTTGAAACATGTTGCTTATTCCACCAAAACAAAGGGAAATGGTCAAAGATACATGTTGCAACCAGTTGAAACATGTTGCTTATTCCACCAAAACAAAGGGAAATTGTCAAAGATACATTTTTCAACCAGTTGAAACATGTTGCTTATTCCACCAAAACAAAGGGAAATGGTCAAAGATACATGTTGCAACCAGTTGAAACATGTTGCTTATTCCACCAACACAAAGGGAAATTGTCAAAGATACATTTTGCAACCAGTTGAAACATGTTGCTTATTCCACCAAAACAAAGGGAAATTGTCAAAGATACATTTTTCAACCAGTTGAAACATGTTGCTTATTCCACCAAAACAAAGGGAAATGGTCAAAGATACATGTTGCAACCAGTTGAAACATGTCGCCTATTCCACCAACACAAAGGGAAATGGTCAAACATACATGTTGCCACCAGTTGAAACATGTTGCTTATTCCACCAAAACAAAGGGAAATTGTCAAAGATACATGTTGCAACCAGTTGAAACATGTTGCTTATTCTACCAAAACAAAGGGAAATGGTCAAAGATACATGTTGCAACCAGTTGACACATGCTGCTTATTCCACCAAAACAAAGGGAAATTATCAAAGAAACATTTTGCAACCAGTTGAAACATGTTGCTTATTCCACCAAAACAAAGGGAAATGGTCAAAGATACATGTTGCAACCAGTTGAAACATGTCGCTTATTCCACCAACACAAAAGGAAATTGTCAAAGATACATTTTGCAACCAGTTGAAACATGTTGCTTATTCCACCAACACAAAGGGAAATGGTCAAAGATACATGTTGCAACCAGTTGAAACATGTTGCTTATTCCACCAAAACAAAGGGAATTGTCAAAGATACATGTTGCAACCAGTTGAAACATGTTGCCTATTCCACCAAAACAAAGAGAAATGGTCAAAGATACATTTTGCAACCAGTTGAAACATGTTGCTTATTCCACCAAAACAGGGAAATGATCAAAGATACATGTTACAACCAGTTGAAACATGCTGCTTATTCCGCCGAAACAAAGGGAAAGGGTCAAAGATACATATTGCAAACAATTGAAACATGTTGCTCATTCCACCAAAACAAAGGGAAATTGTCAAAGATACATTTTGCAACCAGTTGAAACATGTTGCTTATTCCACCAAACGAAGGGAAATGGTCAAAGATACATTTTGCAACCAGTTGAAACATGTTGCTTATTCCACCAAAACAAAGAAACTTGGTCAAAGATACATTTTGCAACCAGTTGAAACATGTTGCTTATTCCACCAAAACAAAGGGAAATTGTCAAAGATACATGTTGCAACCAGTTGAACCATGTTGCTTATTCCACCAAAACAAAGGGAAATGGTGAAAGAGACATTTTGCAACCAGTTGAAACATGTTGCTTATTCCACCAAAACCGAGGGAAATTGTCAAAGATACATTTTGCAACCAGTTGAAACATGTTGCTTATTCCACCAAAACACAGGGAAATTGTCAAAGATACACTTTGCAACCAGTTGAAACATGTTGCTTATTCCACCAAAACCAAGGGACATTGTCAAAGATACATGTTGCAACCAGTTGAAACATGTTGCTTATTCCACCAAAACAGGGAAACCTCCATTTACAACCTTAAAAGATACATGTTGCAACCAGTTGAAACATGTTTTGCATGTTCAACACCAAAGCAAAGGGAAACCTCCATTTACAAGGCAATGTTCAACTTTTTGCAACCAGTTGACACATGTTGCTTTGTCAAAACAAAGGGAAACCTCCATTTACAAGGCAAGACGTATAATGTAAGGATCCCTGCTTAGGCTTTGGCGTGCTTGGTGGCTCCCAGCCATCCGGTTCCTTAGCTTTTTAGCCTTTGAGTGTTTAGTGGTAGTTTCCATTTAACCCACTAAGCGTTAAACTTTTAGCGGGGGATCTGAGGACAGCCCAGCTTGGTGAAGGATAATTCATCCAGAGCGCTGAGCCACAGTCAAAGCAGGGACGAAGGTCAAGAGGCGTTTCAGCCATTGGGCCAGATATCCGGCGTTTTACTCTGCACACTTTCAACAGCAGCTCATGATTGGGACTCAGCCGGCTGCGTGTCAAATAGTCAGCAGCTGAGCAGGAAATGGATGGACACTTGTGACACTCTCATTCTTTTTCAGGCGGCTGTGGTCAATCCTAGCCGCCACTGCCAAAGCGCCAAAGCCGAAGTGCGCCGCTCGCGCATGGGATGGCTTGCGATGGCTTGGGGGCCCGTGTTTTGCAAGTCCCTGTCATGATACTGGGCACTTTCCAAAAAATGCATGTCTTCCCATCGTATCTCACTTCCTGAGACCTGGACTTGTGTGGACTTTTGTGAGGACATCCAAACCTGGCTTTCTTTCTACGGGGGAAGCCACAGGCACGCCACTCGGATGGGGCCCAGCCTCACAGATGTTGGGCATGCTTGAATATGAAGTAGCGGACTTTGTATTTGCTCTGGCTTTCCTGGATTCCTTTAAGCTACCACGCCCATGATTGGTTTCCTTGCCTTATGTGCCTGGGCTGCTATTGTTGAGGTTCAGTGGGGGGTTCCAGAGTCGTTCCCTTCAACCGATCTCTTGGATTTTGGGCGGCTATTGGTTGTGATGAAGTAGCACGCCACTATCATGTTTAGTGGGCCACCCCCCCCCATCTCAACACTTTCAGATGCATTCGGACAGGCCCAGGATTTGCAGCAGCTCATTGACGAGCGCGAGAAAGACCATAAGGCCATGTGCCTCGTCCAAAACGCCTTCTGGTGGAGCCATTGCCGTTCTCCGGTGAATCGAAACATCTCCTTGTAGTGGGCCCCACAGGCCTACGGCCTGGAAACGTACCCGCTTTGCCCAGGTCTTTGGCTAGCTTAAGATGGGAATATGCTCTGGGTCCTTTGGCACCCTTTGGCCTTGCATTGCACTGCCTGAATGCAGCTAGCCAGCTGCATGCCGGGAAGTCTGGCCTCAGTCATCCCCCTTGCATTCGGTTGAGCTAGAGCATGACGTGCAAGATGTGATTTGAACCGATGGATTTGTGGCCAGGTTGCCAGAGATCGATCTTTGGCCTGATGCTGTTTGGGCAGTCTGAACCAGTGCAGAACCAGCATCGTGCAACGCGTGTGCATATATATATATATACATATATGCTCAGTCCTATTACAAAGGGATACCAAGACAACAACGGGCAAGGCAAGTGAATCGAAATGCAAAAAGGCTAAACAACCACGAGGCATGATTCATTTGACAAAAAACACAGCTTAGCAACAACTATTTTACCATGGCAGCCCTACAAGCATAATTCCCAACAAAAAATCACGTTCGACAGCATTCCTTGGAAATGCCCTCGAGCGCCCTCGCTTAGGAAGCGTGACCCCTTCTTCACTCGCGTCATCGAGCTGCAAGTTGAGTATGCAACCTGGCCAACAGGGCAAGTAATGTTGACCCCCTATCAATGAATCGCTGTGTATTAATATGGGGGTGTTTGTGGTTCTAGTGGGGGTTTGTTATTTATTCGGGGTCAAGAGTCGACATTATGTTGGACATAGGCCAGCTGACAGCATCCAGAGATTCCCCTGCATGATTTCTTCGAGACCTAAAAAGTGTACAATAGTCATCACCGATGACGGGTCAATTTCTGGACTGTCCTCAAACACTTCCAAACAGGTGGCATCAAGGCAGTGGTGACGTGCCTTTCATAGATCTCCCCCCTCCCTCCACTAACCCTCCCTCCCCTTGGCTTCCTCTGAAGGCCACGATACGGCCTTAGCGGGGCCTATTTTGGGGAGGATCCTGAGAAATTGCTTTTGCTGGCGCAGGTCATGCTGATGTTTTTCCAGGGCTAATTAGTAAGGGAGTCCGCTTTGCTTGTCGTGGCTTCCCTTAGCGCCGCCCGCTTTGCCGCTGCCTTTCGCGCTGCCTTTGTCTTGCGGCTGCCGCTGCCGCTGCCGCCTTTGCTGGTGCCTTCGCCGCTGCCTTTTTGCTGTTGCTGCTACAGCTGAGTTGTTCTTTGCCTCGCTAGAATGGTTGGGCTCGTTGGGCAGTCCGTGACAGAGGTCTCGTGGAAGCAGGAAGGGCTACGTCTAGAAGCGCTTCTCTCAGATGAGGCTGGGGGCGTGAGGCTGTTTTTGTCTTCGCCCGTATCATCCCGTATCCACCCCAGCCCTACGCACCAAAAAACAATAAGCAAAACAAGCGTGTTTGGTTGGCACCTGATGATTTATGTTTTTTGGAAACGGTGCTGCGCAGAAGGAAGGCGAGAGCAAGAGGGGCAAAGCAATCGTTTCGCATACTCTAATTCGCTTCCAAGCAGCGGCGCATGGGGATATGGAACTCGGAAATACAGCAAACAGCTTGCCACTGTTCTGCATTTGATTTCAGGTTTCGGTAATTAGTGAGGCAGGCAACTTTTGTTTGACAGGCCGACCCTGAACGGGAAGGCTTCGCCAAGTACGATTCTCACGTCAATGTGCGCGCGATTGGCTTATATGGATTTAAAGGGGCTGCCCAAGAGACGGCAAGCTTGTCATGAGCAAAGTTTTGCCGTTAGAGGCCTGGAGCGGCAATTGTGCTGCGTGGCGCTTTGACGCCCATGTCCCATGATGAAATGTGCTTGGCAGTTTTGCTGCTTGGGTAATCAACCGCTGAACATGCATGATGCTCCATGGTGCAGGCAGCTTTCAATTGATCTGGCTGCTTCCAGCTGTGGCTTGCGCTTTGGGAGTAGGTTGCCCACCGGGAATTTGTTCGGTTTGGAAATTGCACCTGCGAGGACAAAGATGCAGGAAAGAAGGAGGCGGAGGTGTACCAGACCAGGGTTGAGAAGTTGACAGAGGACCCCATCTCAGCATGGAGACTTGATCAACATGTCCAATGAGAAGTTCCAATCCCAGCATGGGCGGTTGTTCCAGTCAGCTTTAGCAAGCTTTCGAGCGAAATTTGGGGCTTGGCCTTTGACCTTAGATTTGCCCAAATTTGTCCGGGCCTGATCTTTCCCCCACTTGTTCAGTGGCTCTTTCTTCCTTTTTCTCTTCGGTGGGTGCGTTGCAATGATCAACTCCGAACTGCTTCCTTTTTCCGCCTTCACGGTCACTGGGCTGGGTAGCAGACACCCAGTTTGCTTCGGCAGGAGCGAGAAGCAAAGGAGAAGCAGCTGCAAAAGGTTAAGCAGGAGTTAGAGGAGGAAGAGGCCATGCCAAACCGGGAAACCTCAATGGCCCTTGATACTTTTTGAATTCTGACGCAACTTGACTTGGTTTTGTCTCAGTGGTGGCCGGGACAAATATAACAAGTTGTTTGGAAATCGGCTGTTAGCAGCTTGTGATCTAGTAAGGGCAACGCTCAGTGGAGCAGACGGTGGCAAACATTGGAAGCTCCTGGACTTCCATAATATGATGCCGTTGTCTTGTTGTCGGCGGGGGACTCTGTAATTAAGAAGCCAGCACAGATGACAGGTAACAGGTACCCACGAGGGGGTGGTCAGGCGACCCTGAGCATATCATGATTGGGCAATTGGACGCTCCTTTTCATTGGCCGTTCAAGTTGCGTTTTCCTGCATCCTCCTTTGGAGTGTAGGCTGACAATGTCCGATTCCGGGGTCGACCTGTTTTTGCCACTGCCTGTTTGGACCATGTTCCGAGCCTAACAACCTCCACTCCTTCACCGGCCTTTGTGGCAGTCCATGCGGCAAGTTTCGGAACGGACCTGAGAAACATGAGAAATATGAGGAACTCTGGATCCCTTTGCAACTGACCGCGTCCTTTGAATTGGTGGCCTGGTTCAGAAAGGCGCACCTTGTGCAGAAGGGTTGCTTGTGAATCTTGATGTCATTTTGGCACCTGCCTTGCTCGCAGGCAGCGAGGCAGAACCTGAGTTTTTTATTTTGTTGTCTTCTTTTGCTTGGCCCCATGATCCCATGCGCGCAGGAATTCGTGGGAACTTGTCATGGCCTGCTCGCTTGCCTCGCAGCTTCTTTGGCCATGTGTTCAAGCTGCGCACATGGCCAGCGGACGTCACGAGATGGCACGCGCATGATGCATGTTCCGCGCTTTTTTCTTATGCTGATGCAGCTTGCTGACAGGAATGTTAGACTGGGGGGTTTGGGTGTCAGCCACCACCTTGCAGATGCGTACACAGCAACACTTGCCACCCAGTGGGCTCAGAGGACAGGGCCCGTGGGCAGTAGAAACCTCTCAGAGTCATGTCGATGCTTGCAGTAATTCGCTTTTGGGAGGGTGAAATGACCAGACTCCATTGCGCTGTGAGCCATGCTGTCAATCGACATCATGGAGACGAACCCGCCTCGCAAAACTTCGGGCGGCAAAGCCCCGTCGAACATCTGAGTAGGTAGTTGCTCGACTTAATAGTTCAAAGCCATAGGAAACGCGGATAGGGTGGGAATGGGGATATTTTCTGTTCTCACTTTTGTACTGGGGAACTTCCCGGCATGGCCTCACCTCCACTCTGATTTCCCCTACTAGCTGCAGAGGTGCAATGGGCTTACAATCACTATGTATACGGAAATGCAGCACGTCCAGGGTAGTCTGGAGGGTGGATGTAGCACCTTGCCCATGAAATGGGGGGTGAATGAACGAACCAAGGCAATTACAAGGCAAGCCTGTCCAGGTTGCAGACTCTCGTTTGCCGCAGCCAACGTTCGCAGAGAAGCTCGAAGTTGCCCCAAGGTAGAACCGGTTTAAACTCAACATGAGCAATCCAAGGCCAACGCCTGTGAGTTTGGTGTTGGATTGCCACCAACAGGTTTGACAGATTCCAAGTTTCTGTCTTGCTAAGGCTTGATTTCCCATGCCCTCTGCAATTTCCCCAACGGACCTTCCATGACTGGCCCATTGGGGGGAGCTGACCGTTGTGATCAGGTCCACTCCTTTCCATACCAGACCCCAGTCTCCGTCCTCACGTGAAGCCACAACCTGAACGGATGCCACTGTGCATGGGTGCTGCCATTGTGCTGTTGGCTGAGAGTAAATGGCGATGACGGCAAATCCCCGTTCTCTGGGTTTGTAAATGAGATGACCGGGCCAAAAGATGTGCCATTTGCTTTCACCCAACATTCCCTTGAGGTCTTCTCGTGGGTCTTGCCCTGCGACTTCTTGCACGCCGCTGTGGCGTGTGTGCCAGGTTTTCACGTTGCCATGCCCAGGCACGATATGATGTGGTTTGGGTTCCGCCTTGGCGAGCTGTCGGCAAGTGGGAAATCCCCACCTAACTGCTAAAAATTTAATTGTTGCTCCCCTTCCAACGTCAACCAAGCTGGATTTCAGGCTTCACGAATGTATTAACAAAGCACGCAGTTGAGTTGCGCCTTGGAGCGTGCAAGCGTCAGATACTGCTTGGGGAGCACTATTTGTAGCTGTCAAGCTTTTGGTCAAATCGCTGTTGTCGGCGCCCCATGTTTGTCACGAACGCATCCGCTGCGTACTGGGAGTTCTTTCTGCTGCTCAGGGCTTCACGCTAGCCTGTCGGTGATCTTGCGCAGCACCAGCTTCCTGCCTGTGACGTTGGTGGTCCTGAGTACGCGCCTTGCATGTCGGGGCTTGGGCGGACGGGTAAGTGCAGGTGATTGACATGAGCCTATCTTTTCGAACAGCTTGGGTTTGGAGTTTTGGGAGGCGATGCCGTGCGTTTTTGACGGCTGGCCTTTTCGGCCTCACCCGAGGATTCGCACATTCGGGAGAACGGCTGGGGATGTGCACTGAAAGGCAAGAAGCAAAGCTGAGGGAGATGAAATCAAGACAGGGCTTTAATACGCGTAATGCAAATGTGACACATACAAATGCAAGTCATTGTGTTTGATGAGTCAATGGGCGAGGACGGTACTGTTTTTTTGTTCACGTTGCCTTTGCTCATTTGGCACTCACAGCTAGGATGGCTGACATCGGGTGTTTACCCTGAACATCTCTTAGCGCTTTGCAGCAACTTGGCCGCAAAGTTGCGGAGGCCAAGGGCACGGTGGTTGCTTACATTGCCTACAACGAGCGTTTTCAGCTGCGGAGTTTGTGCTAGAAGAGCTGTGTCACAGTCAAAGGTGAGCAAGCTCATTTTGTTCGCTGCAGCCCTGGGGTGAAGCAGACTGGCGGTATGAGTTGATCCGAAAAAAAGAAAGAAAGAAAAAAACACTACACTTTGGCAGTGCATTTGGCTGGCGAGATTAGCATGGGCCTTATATAACTTATATGGTGAGTAGTTACCATCAGGATCAACCGCCGCGGGTTAAGCTCTTTGAGGGACAAACAGTGTTGCCCCTTAGTGCCTTCTCGCAACCCTACTCCACTTCAATAACAAAATACCTCATGTCAAAGCAGTCTTCCTCTTGGAAGTGTTGTAGTGCGCCATGCCTGAATTCGGCAGGAAGGTAAAGCAGGACACTTCAATTCAACGACTTTTTGCCTTTCCGATGACTCTTTGCCTTTCAACATGGTGAAGCACTGCTCCAAGTTTCTGCCTTTCCGAGAAACCTGGATAAGGCCGGCAAAGCCTAGGGACCGCGCGCCTGGCATGAGCCATGTGGACTCTGGGCTGCCTGCCCTGCCTGCCGCGCCCGGCCAAGAGGTGCTTGGAAGAGGCGGTGGCCGAAGTCTGGCGCCACAGCCTTCAAGTGGCGCATTCGATCCTCAGTTGTTCAAAACCGACCTTTTGACTTTTTGGTTTTCCTGTTTTGGTCCATTTTTAGTGGAGGTCCCAAAAGGTTAACCTTTTATGTCCAGGTCCTTTGGGCAAGTGAGGATCAGTTTGGGTGGGTTGCATGTTGCGTATGGCGTTTTTCAAGCCGTAAACCTGACTTTAGATGCAACAATTGCACATTGATATGAAATTAAACCTCTATGCGCACACACGCATGTGGGGGCCGTCCGTAGTTGCATGCCTAACATTTATGAACAGCGGCAACTTGTTGAACCGCGCGATTGGGACACCTCGAGCCGCGAAAGGCCGCGATTGGACCGCGAAAGGGCAACGCATTTATTATGAGTTTAGACGCTGCATGGTGCCGACACACGTCTCGCTGAGTTTGACTGTGCGGGCTCCAGCAAAAGTTTCCTTTGGAGTCCTGAATGTTTGATTTCGTTTGTGCAGGGCCAGACGGTGCTTTCCAAAGCTGCTTGCTGGGAAGGGCTGGAAGCTGCAAACCGAAGTTTCACCGCCGAATTCTGCGATTGGACTGCGATTGGACGAGTTCCATCAGTGAGCCCCTGCCCATCCGAGCTACGTCACTTCCTTCCTGTTTCCAGTTGTATGGAGGAAGGCCAGCGCTTGAGATAAGACGGCGAAACCCGAAACAGAAACAACAGCGATGCCCAGCTTTGCTCCGCGATTGGATTTCGCGGGGTCGCGATTGGATCGCGATTGGCCGGCCATTGGGGTGTCCCCAGGCAAAGTAATTTTGTACAAAATTCACGTGGGTTGGTTCATGTGCCTTGGCGTCGTTACAAGAATCATCAGACAGGGGCGCCAGGCCACGATGGCCTCGAATCATGACTTGTTTTTGCCCAAAGGCACACCTTTTGCATGAAGCGCTTCATATGTGCGACAACTAAGGATCTTTGAGGGTGAAGTTGAATCGAAGTCATGAGCGGTCCTAGCTCACTTGCCAAGTTTCTGGACTGATTCCTTTTTGAGAAGGTTGACTGTTTAGGCCAATCCACTGAGGAAGTGAGTTTTTGAGAAGACACAGCCGTGGCTTTTGCCAATAGTGAGAGGTGGTCGCAGTTGCTGCTTGAGATGTGCCACCATACCATTCATGCATCGTCAAGCGTGGTGTTTCCCTTTGTTGCGTTTGTTCCAGCCGGCTTTGTGCTGACAATGAACAAGCCGATAAGGGCAAGCCTGTGTGCCCGGGCACGATGATAACTGTTTCATGAATGACGCCTGGTATTTGAGCTTGGGTTCCTTGAGAAAAATTAGCTTCAATTCTGGCATGAGCGCATGCATGCATTGGACTTACATGATTGCTTTCGTCCTCATACGCATTAACCGCACACAAACGTTCAACTCATGCGCGTGTGTGTGTGTGCGCACGTGTATATGTTTTCCATCTTCGCAGGCAAGTAGAGGCTTCTTACTATACAGAATACCATACTGATATGCAGCATGCATGTGTCAAGCATGGCATCAGGTAGGGAGGTTCGCCATTGGTGGGTTCTGAGTTACCAGTGACCCAGGCGCCCAGTGCATGTGTCGGAGCATTGCTTTGCTGGCTTGATGTTCTGTCAAGGCTCGCTGGTGCGCTTTTGTTTGCGGGAAGAAGCATCCTATGTTATTCACCAGCTGATTGGAGAATCTCCAGTTGAAACGAAGGTATTTACATTAATTTGCTTGCACTCGGGGTGTGAGCCAGCCCCCCAATTAAGGTTGGATTCAATTGTATCCTCCCATCCATTAAGGGTAAAGGGACGCAATGGGTTCAGTGCCAGTGGCAAGGTATATTGGAGACTCGGAGCCCCCCATCACGTAGTTGTTCAGTGGCGGTGGCTTCCCCACGAGATTTGGAACCCAAAACGTCCCCTTGGTCTACCCGGGTATCAGGTGCCGCGTGCTTGGGTTGCCGGACAAGAGCATTCAGCTCTGCGACAACTTCGTCGAGCTGGGGGGCGAGTCACTGCTGGCGCTCAGGGCTTGCGCCTCCTTGCGCTATTTGCTGGGCAAGGCCGAGGAAGATGACGGAGAGGACAGGTCCCTATGCTTCCGTTTTGTGCCAGCGCGTGTTTGTTTGTCCATGTGTTTTGTTGACCCAGTGGTGAATTTCTTGGTAGGGGTGATGGTTAAGTGGAAAAATGGGAGAACATGCCAGAGGAAGCCGCATTTGCTCAACTCCTCCCCTGTGGTCGGACTTTATGCAGTCAACGGCCTTTGCCCAAGTTGCTTTAGCAACCAGCAAGTTGGGGTTGGGGCTTCTGCAGAGCATGGAACGCGACTGTGATTTTCAGCATTTGCTATCGGAGGCCAACCCCCAATTAGTTTGAGGGGGCCCTAGGTTTTTCTTGGCTCAGCATGCAACGTGCCCGCTGCATGCTTGCCTTGACAAATGTCCGCACCGCGCAAGCAAGATGCAGGACCAATGGGCAATATGACTCTGGCTACGGAAGCCAAACCATACGTTAAACCATACAGTGGCCCCAGTATCGCTTGGCACGATATCTCGAGAATCTCAGCCTGGCATTCGGCTCAGCAATTTGTGTATCCTCCTTGCTTGCGCAGGAATTGGGCAAAGTTTGTTCATGTTGCATATAGACCTAGTTACAATCGCTGGCGCTTATAAGGGAAGTTTCATTGCGGGAAGACCAAGGAAGGCTATGTGGACATACAACAGCTGAGAAAGCTGCAAAACGATGGGCGGTGGGAGGCAAGTGGTAACAACCAGAATGTTGCGTCACCTTGCAAATCTGTTCTTTTCACCCCAGCTGAGTGAAAATAGTCGAGGGATCAACCTTCCACTCATTTTCCCAATCAAAGCCAACACAATCAGTAAAGAAGGCAAAGAGTTGGTTCAACAAGTTGAAGCAGGTGCTTGGCCCTCGCAGGACGGAGAGTTTGGTCACGTGTCCGGCGCTTTTGCGGTGTCGGAGCTGCTGAGGGCCACGGACCTGGGGGCCTACTGTGCGGCGCTGCGCCGGAGTGGGCATGACCTGCCGGGCGGCACCTGTCCTTCAACGTTCACGGGCGCCTGGATTGCAGCATTCCACCTGCTTGAATTATGAGAGTTGGTCAATATTCCTGGCCCCCAAATGACCATGGGCAACGTTTCCCATTTATATAGTGACAATTGTCATCTTGGTAGTGGTTTCCCCCAATGGTCATCCCATGTAAAGGACCTTTTTGATCAACGCCCATATGTTTAGTGGCTTCATTGTGTTGGACAATCTTTGTTTTTCTGTTCTTGCGAGTTTTTGGTTCGAAATGCAGAGGTCGGGTTGTCGGCTGGGCGGGTTCCCTTTGGCAAGCGACAAAGTCCACTGGGGTAGGAAAGCGGTGCCACTGCAGCGCATTCACGAAGTTGCGGAGGTTGATAGTAGATGCCCTGCCGCACTGATCTAGACTCAAATCAAACCATCCCGCAACAGGGCGCCTTAGCTCCAACTTGGCTATTGAATACACGACCTTTTCCACCAGACTGAAAGGAAACATTTGAGGGCCAATGCTTGTAGCTTCACCAAACCAATACATATGTATGTAGATACACACATATATATATGTATGTATACATATCAACCCGTTTCAAGCCGAAGCACGTACAAATCTCAAGCCCAAGCAAATCAGTTTGGAGCTACCTCAGATGGCTCCACTTCCTTTCCAAGATGTCAGGAGAACAAATCGAGGAACCTCAGCACTTAGCACCTCTCACAGGCGCCGAGCCCCGCCCGCGGCAACTGGAGCTCGAGAATGCGCGGCGCGAGGCAGAGCCAGGTTCAAGTTGCTGGTTTTCGATAGGCAGGGAATGAGAATTGGAACGGCCCCGAGAAAAACCATCCAGATGGTTTCCTTTAAGGGGACAGCCTGGGTTCACTCCCACAGTCCATGAGCACTAGCAAGTTAACCTTTTGCTTGGTCGACTTTAGTGGAACACATGTTCAGTCGGGCCTGTTGCTTGACCAGTTGCGGGAAATCGCCAGGGGAAATCCCAGATTGCAGCCCTAACTAGCGGAAACGAGCACGAAGGGTTCACCAAAGCGGGCGTCCTCGAAAATCGGTCGCCTTTGGAGTCCAGGCGAGTCAGGGAAGTAACGTGGCACCCCAAAGCTTGCTTTGGCAGGCAGCGGTCTTCTTCTGGAAGCTTTTTGTTGGACGAGTCGGAATTTCCACCGTCTAAACGCCAAGGAAGAGTGAGGCAACAAAAAACACCAGGACATAATTATGTACTTTCGCCTTGAAACGGCTTGGGCTTGATTTTGACGGGATTGTCGAATTGACGGCCGTTACGTTGCCTTGTTGTTTGTCTTTGTTTTGTGTGGGGAGAGGGCAAAGCTTTCAACCTGATTTTCAATTTGCTCTCATGGGGCCCCGTTGGACATTTAAGAAAGTCTGACTTTGCTCAATTTTTAAGCATTGCTGGTTTGTGCCAACGTTTTTGTTGTCTCTTGATGGTCATGTTTAACTGTTGTCCATTTGCCTCCGAACAACGCCGCCCAGCACAAAGTTTCAAACTTTGTCAGCGGGATTCGTCGACATGAAATTGAACCGTGGGGACTGCCGGCAGCGTAGCCAAACCACTGAAGCATTTGTAGGTTTTTCCAGATTTCCACTGGATCAGTCTGCCGGAAAGCTTGCAGCTTTCAGCCTTGGCAGCTAAAACAAAGTAAGGTTGACCCAGGATTAATGTTGACCCGTCCCACTATTAGGGGGGTGTTCCCTCCAAAAGTGATGAATCCCGACTAAAAGGGGACACCCCGCTACTATTAATCAACCAGGGGTGTATTAATCCGGGGTTAACATTAGCGCTCCTAGCGCCGGGATGAAGACGAACCGATTGCTGACGGCTTTGGGAAGCAGCATGGTGCTCCTGTTGCGCTGTGTGAGCGTAGCTCGAAGATCAGTTTGAGCAGCTCCATGGTCGCTCCGTGTTAGTAGAGGCCCCAAACATGTTCTTCCAAAGGCGGGGGCTCTTTTGTCGAGGGTTTAGGGTTTACGGATTTATAGTTTCATGACTCTTGTGCACCTCAAGACTCCAAGGAGGCTGCGGCTTGCTCTTGGGCCAGGTTTTTTTTCGCCGGCTTCGGTCAGGTGGGCTTTGGCCCATTGCACGCTGCTGCCCAGAGCAACGCAGTGGAAACCGTGCAGCTCCCTGGCACTGATGGCGAATCCTCCGCCTGGATTCCTTGGGGTTGCCGGCGGGTTTCATGTCATGGAGGAGGGGGCTCCTTTGTGACGCTAACTGGACCCCCTTGTCCAAGAGCATCTCTCAACGTTTGTTGGACACTGAAAACCCATCGAACCTGCACTGATACAAGCATAGTCACTCAACCTTTCGAGTGTTTGAACCAAGACCATCTCTCAACGTTTGTTGGACACTGAAAACCCATCGAACCTGCAATGCTACAAGCATAGTCACTCAACCTTCCGGGTGTTTGAACCAAGACCATCTCTCAACGTTTGTTGGGCACTGAAAACCCATCGAACCTGCAATGGTACAAGCATAGTCACTCAACCTTTCGAGTGCTTGAACCAAGAGCATCTCTCAACGTTTGTTGGACACTGAAAACCCATCGAACCTGCAATGTTACAAGCATAGTCACTCAACCTTTCGAGTGTTTGAACCAAGACCATCTCTCAACGTTTGTTGGACACTGAAAACCCATCGAACCTGCAATGCTACAAGCATAGTCACTCAACCTTTCGGGTGTTTGAACCAAGACCATCTCTCAACGTTTGTTGGGCACTGAAAACCCATCGAACCTGCAATGGTACAAGCATAGTCACTCAACCTTTCGAGTCCTTGAACCAAGACCATTTCTCAACGTTTGTTGGACACTGAAAACCCATTGAACCTGCAATGTTACAATCATAGTGACTCAACCTTTTGAGTCCTTGAACCAAGACCGTCTCTCAACGTTTGTTGGACACTGAAAACCCATCGAACCTGCAATGTTACAAGCATAGTGACTCAACCTTTCGAGTCCTTGAACCAAGACCATCTCTCAACGTTTGTTGGAAACTAAAACCCATCGAACCTGCAATGTTACAAGCATAGTCACTCAACCTTTCGAGTGTTTGAACCAAGAGCATCTCTCAACGTTTGTTGAAACTAAGACCCATCGAACTTGCAATGTTACAAGCCTAGTCACTCAACCGTTCGAGTCCTTGAACCAAGACCATCTCTCAACGTTTGTTGGAAACTAAGACCCATCGAACTTGCAATGTTACAAGCATAGTGACTCAACCTTTCGAGTGCTTGAACCAAGAGCATCTCTCAACGTTTGTTGGACACTGAAAACCCATCGAACTTGCAATGTTACAAGCATAGTCACTCAACCTTTCGAGTCCTTGAACCAAGACCATCTCTCAATGTTTGTTGAAACTAAGACCCATCGAACTTGCAATGTTACAAGCATAGTGACTCAACCTTTCGAGTGAGTGAACCAAGAGCATCTCTCAACATTTTTATGGAAACTAAAACCCATCGAACCTGCAATGCTACAAGCATAGTCACTCAACCTTTCGAGTCCTTGAACCAAGACCATCTCTCAACGTTTGTTGAAACTAAGACCCATCGAACTTGCAATGTTACAAGCATAGTCACTCAACCTTTCGAGTGTTTGAACCAAGACCATCTCTCGACGTTTGTTGAAACTAAGACCCATCGAACTTGCAATGTTACAAGCATAGTGACTCAACCTTTCGAGTGATTGAACCAAGAGCATCTCTCAACGTTTTTTGGAAACTAAGACCCATCGAACTTGCAATGTTACAAGCATAGTCACTCAACCTTTCGAGTGTTTGCACCAAGACCATCTCTCAATGTTTGTTGAAACTAAGACCCATCGAACTTGCAATGTTACAAGCATAGTGACCCAACCTTTCGAGTGAGTGAACCAAGAGCATCTCTCAATGTTTGTTGAAACTAAGACCCATCGAACCTGCAATGCTACAAGCATAGTCACTCAACCTTTCGAGTCCTTGAACCAAGACCATCTCTCAACGTTTGTTGAAACTAAGACCCATCGAACTTGCAATGTTACAAGCATAGTGACTCAACCTTTCGAGTGCTTGAACCAAGACCATCTCTCGACGTTTGTTGAAACTAAGACCCATCGAACTTGCAATGTTACAAGCATAGTGACTCAACCTTTCGAGTGCTTGAACCAAGAGCATCTCTCAACGTTTGTTGGAAACTAAGACCCATCAAACTTGCAATGTTACAAGCATAGTGACTCAACCTTTTGAGTGATTGAACCAAGAGCATCTCTCAACGTTTTTTTGGAAACTAAAACCCATCGAACCTGCAATGCTACAAGCATAGTCACTCAACCTTTCGAGTGATTGAACCAAGAACAGCTCGTTCCAATTAAGTCTGAGCGTTGCACAGACATGTGACGTGATACAGTTGTGCGGGTGTCTCAACCTGCACGCTGAACAAACAACCACCCTCATGGGGCCGCAATTGCCCCATGACATTTCTTAAGCGACCAATCGCGAGCGTTGATGGTTAGATGTTGTAGCATTGGGTGTTTCTTTGTGATTGTGTCGTGGTGTTTCATTTTTGGGGCTGGGAGTTTGGACAGCCTGACGCCACGGAATTCCCGTTGGAACCGGCAACGTCACAGCTCCGTTTAAAAGAAAAGGCATGGAGCACTGCTCTGGCCTTGGAAAGAGAGATCGCGGTAGAATGAGTGTATGCAAATACCCTCCGCGAGCCATGTCTGCTTGACACAGTTCAATGCAGTTGAAGTCTCTTGGAAGCCAAGTGACGCTGCAGCTGCTAACAGGGTCGTGTAAAGCAAAGCTCCTCCGGCTGCAGGCTCTTGCTGGAGCGCAGGGCCAGGGCCACGGCGGTAGAGCCCGGCGCGCAGATGACGGCCATGCACTACGCGGCCATGTGCAAAGACTGAGAGGGTGCAAAGTGAGTGTGGGTGTTTGTGTTTTGTCTCCAAAACCGTTGTATGGTTTGCTTTCAAGCAAAACTGCTGGGAGACAACTCATTAGGATATCGTTATGCTTCCCTATTTTGGGACAAACCCACGTTTGTCCGCAGATGGGACCACACTTGTCACTATTATTTGTCACTAGTAGTCACTGCAAGACTGCAATGTTGGCTTGCTTTGCTATGTCTCCAAGGTTGTAGCTCACTAGACTAAGCATAACTATAGTACATCAATCTGAAAGTACGCGTTTAAGAATGACAGACTTTCTGAACATATAGAAGGGCTCTCCACAAACGGCATTGGGGGGTACTTAAAAAAGACTAATTACGTGCGTGTACTATCAGGGGACAAGGGGCTAACTGATTGCAAACACCGTTCACCCGTGATCATGCGGTGATTGGGTTGCATAGTGATCGCACCTTGGGGAGGATCAGAGTCATATTGTTCGTTGGGGACGCCTTGGTTGACATTCTTGACATGGGAATGTTCACCAACCATTTTGGAGGGTGTTCCCTTTTAGATTGATTAGCCACGTTACGAGTCCAACATACCGCCTGTTTGACGTGGGTAATTAGGGGCCGAGATGCACAGTTGGATAACCTGGACGAAACCAAGCATTTGGCAGCGTCCCTTGCTTTGACGGACCGTTGGCACTCCTCACTTGACGTTAAAAGAGGGTCTCTAGCAGTCCAGGGGTCACACAAATGTACGAGCAAAGCATGCAGCTGCCACAGAGCATCACATTTCCCCTTGCAGCACAGCCCCGGAACAGGAGAGTTCCGCCTGAGCAACTCACTTGCTGCAACCTCCAAAAAGTTCCGCCACAATTCGCGCAGTATAACCTACTACTGTAGGTGGAATCGGCATTCGGAGTGAAAACGATATCCGATATGCGCAAAACAAATAGCAGCTAAACATTTGCATTCAGGATGTTGACTGCTGCTCCCTGGGTCATGTCAAATTCCTCACTATTGACTTATTGACTCACCACTCGTCATGACAGTGACCTGCTTGGCACATCCTGTTGGGTCGAACTCGGTCACCCACCAACCACCGTGCATCCCAACGTAGAAGTCGCCTTTGACGACCCAGAAGTCCTCCGTCTTCGTCGGTACCATCAATGTCCGCCATCTTCCGCGGGTCTGTCCCGCATCCTCCGGTACTTCTCAAAGACTCCCTTTGTCGCACAACCGGCCCAACCTTTACAGCCCCCATGGCCCGCCGTCATCTCATAGGCCACCACTACAGTCCAAGCCATCACCCTCGGCCTTCCGAGCTTCAGTCTTGCGCCTTGTTTGGGCGAGTCCTTAAAGGGAAACCTGAGCACCCCCCCCCACCATTCAAAGAATTCTTGTGGCGCCATTGTTTGTGCTCAGTGGAAACGGATTCCATCAGCTGTTTGTTTTTTGTTCTTGGTGGGTCTCCACTCAACCTGGCATCAACCAACCAAAGAGGGTTCGGTTTTGTCACCGCAGTCGCAGGTTTCAACTTGGGCCTGCCCGCTGATTTTCAAGGTTGGGCTTGGTTAAAAGCACCCTGTCGGCATGGTTGGCCTCCAAAAACCGCCTTCGGAATGTCAACGCCTCCCAGTCCACGAAAAAGCCCCGAATCGCATCGCTTGCCACCGGGCCTGGCCATGGCGACACTCGCGAGGATTCCGGGGCGCTGGAGCTGCTGTTGGCATCTAAGGCCAGGCGAAGCTCAAGCTCGTGGCTCTCAGTTGGGCCACGTGCTCAAACCCCGCGCAGATGAAGGTTTCAGGAGATTAACATGGATGTTTCCATGGGTCCAAATTGCAGGATATTAACATGGAAACCAACAGAACCATCATTTGAGCCACTTGCTCAAAACCCGGGGATTGATGAAGGTAAGGGGCAGTCCCAGCCAGAAACAGCTGCGAATATCCGCCTTCTTAATTCTTGAAGCATGGTTCTGGGTAGACCTTTTTAATACCGGGTTTTGATTGTGACTGAGTTGTTCAAAGCCGACCTTTTAACTTTTATTTGGGTGCGACTTGTTGAGCTAATTACAGCCTTATGAGTATTTGAACGGAACGGAAACCAACCCGTATGAACTAGTTGGAGAGTAAATCGCCTCATTTTCAGCCACCGGAGACAAACGGGGAGTTTTCAAACTGATGGTGAAAATTGGGGCGATTTACTCCAACTCCTTGTGGGTCCCCAAACACTGGGGGGGGGGGGGGGGGAATTTTGGTGCTTTTTTTATCGGGCATACCATAAGCAACTATTTATCAATAAGCAGCTGTTTGCGGAGGTTTCTTTGGCCTGCCGATTTTAGATGTGAGCAACGGGCAACATTGCAGGGGTACTGGTTTTAGGTCGGCCCCCTGCGGCTTTGCAGGTGGGGGTATCGGTTTTGGGCAACCCTAGCCGGTGGCAACATTGTTTGATGGGTGTAGGGCTGTACCCCGACAGGCTGCCAAAAAGGACTGATTTATTAATTTGAGGCTTTGTTGCTACGAGGAACACTGGATAGCTGCTGTGTGCGGTGTTTGCTTGCCAGATGCTCATACCATCAGAAGCCCGTCGTTTTGTCAGACAATGACACAGCCACACCGCAGCAGTTGCATAACAGGCGGCGGCCAAGTTTCAAAGATTCTGGCTGGTCGTGGAGTGATGGCCATATATTTACCTGTACCAGTGTCAGTTGAGTGAGTGTTTTTTGTTTTTCTTGAACAGCTGGAACGCGCGGTCGCCATGCTTCGACTCATGGGCGTGGCATCACTTTGACTGGTTCTACGTCGATAAGCATCAATTGGAGCTTATAAGTATAAGCATCTGTGTTGACTTGAACATGCAAACATCTGCAAGCGCTCAAACGCACAACTGCGAACCGCAAAACATGGCGATGATACAAACAAGAAGGCGCGCACACGCGCACACAAAACACAAACACACGACGATGCAAAACCACTCACCAAAAAATCAGGCACAAAACACGAAACGCAGCCACAACCACAAGCCGCCGCCACAGCCCCTCCCCAAACACAACCACAAGCCACAACCACAAACGAAGCACACGAGCACAGCCTCAACCACCACAAGCACAAAGGAAGCGCAAGCGCCAAACGCAACCTCGCGAATCACAAGCCACAAGCTGAAAAAAGACGGCAGATATCAACACGCATGGAACCACACAACAGACACAGGCGCAGAAGACATATGACATATGTGTGCGAGTGTTTTCCAGGTTACCCGTTACCCTGCTCACCTTACTGGAAAGGGGACAAGAGGGCACAAAAAGAACATCCACCATTTTGAATCCCTCATGATATGTATAACATGCGAGATTTTGGTGGTGCCCCTATTTTGACATATACCCCGAAATCCGCTTTGCAGCTTCTTCGTTTTCGGTCAGGCGCCAGTGACGGTGCGTGACGCCCGGGGCCAGAGCCTGGTGCACGCAGCGGCACGCAGCGGGTCGGTGCAATGCTTGCGGCTGCTGCTGGCCCAAGGCGTCGCATGAGAGCCGAAGCTATGGGGACACGGACGGGTTCATGGGAGATACAACCACCACTTAGCCATTCCCCTGCGGTTCAAATCACTGTGACGTGTGTGACTTACAGATACGCGCGGGGGTTTATCGCATTTCCTCGCGCAAGGTCGTGCAAGTCGGCCTTCTCCCTCACATGTGGGTCAGAGGTCATTTCCGACAATCTATTGGCCGGGATGTCTTTGAGGGTGACTTTGGGGGTGATTTTGGGATGTGTCTGATTTTTTGGTGTGGTATGTCCTTAGCGCAAATCTTGGGGGGTGTTGTCTCTGGAGTGTTTGCAGTTGCCTTTGCTGTCTGGGGGGTGTCCTTGGGGTGTTTGGGTGGCCTTGGGCGTGGCTTATTCCCACGTCCTTGGGATGTGGTTGGGGCATGTGTTCATGTGTTCGGGGATTTCTTGGACGGAGGGCTTGATTTGGAGGATGTTGCTGGGATTGTCTTCGGAACATTTGGTTTCATGCGCCTTCGGTCGCGTAATGCAGTTTGCAAGGCAGGGCAGCTTGAAATCCCGCGCGGGACGCGAATGCAAAGAGCAAGCGTGCAGGCAGAGCCGAACAATGCATTGCTACACCAGAAGGGCGGAATTTGCAACCGCAAGTGTTGCCGCGATCTTTTTGTGGCACAGCGCGTGCGACCTGGTGTTCTTTGTTGTTTAGGCGGGTCTCCCTTTGTGTTCGGCGCATTTTTTTCCCACGGCCATTTGCCAAGCTAGACATTGCCGTTTTCGAGGTTCGTTGCCTGGAAAAGCATGACCAAAAACGGCCCCATGTTCACCTGAGGTCTGTTCAAGTGGCTGCATTTTTGTCTCCATTGTATCCAATTCAACCCCAACCAGAAGGAGTGCCTTCAAAAACAGCCTGGCATTCCAAACGCATCCCCTTTAGCCACCAGTCGGGGCCCAGCCCGTTCTGGGCTCCAGGGTTGTTGGGCCCGAGCCCCGCCGCAGGCGGTCGCAAAGTCCTGGAGTGGAGCGATCGCTGGGCCAGGAGCGCGGTGCATTGGGCGGTGCTCAACGGTCACCCGGAGGCGCCTGAGAGATCTCAAGCCCCGGGCTCTTTGAATGGCGACCCCTTTCTCCTAGAAGGCATTTGTGGGATCGCTTTCCACAAATCCCCTGTCAGGTGCCATGTTCGTGGGAGGTAACCCTTTCCAAGAATCAGGGTGGACATGTCGGGTTTTAAAGACTATCCTCTTGAATAGACCCCCTGACTACTTCCATTTTTGAAAAAAGGGTAGTGTCCAGGCTTCGGCGAACCAGTGCTATTTGTTCTGGTGATTTGTTCCGCTTGTTTCCGTGGTTTGTTTCCACTCTCATTGTCTAACAAGAAAGCAAGCAAGGAAGCAACCAACCCTAAGGCCAAGCAAAAGCGTACAGGCTTATCCTTGACTAAACCAACCCTTCCCACCCAAACTGCATTTGAACCCACCCCAAACCTGTGGATTCAGGTTCCAACCCTGTGCATGAGTGTACCTTGTACATGCTCCGCCGCTACAGACTTCAAGAGCACTATCAGCAGTGTGAAAAGTAGTCAACGGTTTGCTGCTTGCCTAGGTATTACCTTAGGTGGCCTAGGCTTGATAACACAGGTTATCAGCCGTAAAGGCTTGTACAAAGATCGCCATGGCATCCGGAGATTTGCCCATTATATACAATATATCTGGAGAAGTTGGTGACGGTGGTGATGGTGCAGTTGCACCTACAGGTCCTGTTGACCCTCGCGATCCTCGAAACGTATTCGGGTTCGCGACAAACTACCAAGCCACCCAGAACATCATGCATGTGCATAACGACACGGGTGACGCTGTTAGGGAAGAGGCCAACACGTTACATCGCGTTGCTATGGATGCTACAAGGGCGGAATATAGCGCTCATTTGGCGGAAACTGTGCATCGCCTGGACGAGGAGAACAACCGTCGGACCCTTGAGCTGCACGAGCAGTTCGCAGAGGCTCGCGCTTTCTTCAACGCCCAGGTTGGCCAGATGCGGGGAGCAATTTCTGCCGAAGTGAACGAAGCTGTGTCGCAAAGAACGGCACAGTATAGCGCTTTCGCACAAAGCTTACATGCTGAGACTGTTGCGATGGAGAACTCGGAGAAGGCGGTCGGTGAGCAGAGAGACAGTATTTTGGCGGAGAATCACGCCATGCAGGACACGATCAACGGGCTGAACGACACCGTTGAGCGTCTGAGAAACGATCTCGAAAAGGCGCAGCGTGAAATGGTGCGCGGAGATCCTCAGCCTGCGTCAAGTGTACAGAACGTCAGTTCGGAGTCGTTTTTGGATAAGAGGGGCAGTATCTTTGATGATCCGCGTCTTTTTCCAACGCAGAATGCACAAACTTCTGGAACTATGCCACAGATTATTCCACAGCAGAGTTGGACTGATCCTATTTCTGGTGCAATGCAGTTTGATATCAAAGATCATGCGAGACGGTCTTCGGAGCAAGAGAACAGCCGAAGTCAGCAAAATCAGCCGAACATTGATCGGTTGACTGGTCCCGAGACCACTGAGGCGGAGTTCCGTGCGGCCCTCCTCGGCTTCGTCCGGAATCAGCATGATCGGCCGAAAGCAAAGGAAGCCGATTCGCTGAGGCTGAGTGAGTTTCCCACTCCTGAGACCTATAGAGCCTGGAAAACGGCTACTCGCGAAGAAATTCGGGCTGCTTCAGATCGGCCTGATGCTGCATTCACCTGGGTTAACAAGGTGTACGTCAACCGGGAGGATAAGAAGAATCTCATGTTAGAGCTAGGAGATCCAGAGCAGTTTGAAACGTTGGATACAAAGCTTCTTGCGGCCTTGTCGCGGATTGCTAGGGGCGACCTTAGTCGGCAGATCCTCACCTACAAGGAGCAACAAGCTGCTTTGGACAAAGTTGTCCGTGGACGTCAAGTTCTTCTCATGTTTGAGCAGTATTTCAGAACGAATGAGGAGGCCGGAGCGTTGTATTCCACTGAAGATTTGTTGAAGGTGGTGCTTCATGGCAATGATTTGATGACCTTTATTCAGAATTGGGATTCCGTCATTGCTGGCATGAAGATCGTTCCGGAGCAGCACGTCTTGAAGGACATTTTCTTGCGACAGATTCGTGGATGTCACAAGATCAAGTATGACCTCGATACATACGAGCGTGCAAAAGATGGGTCGTATGACAAGAGCTACGAGTTTCTTGTTCAAGCCGTTCGTGATGTTTTGACTCGGGAGCGATTGCAGTCAAATCGTGATCGTGTTGCTCGAGCTCACAATCAGAAGGTCGGTGCTCCAGCTCCCAATGCAAATCCTGGGCGTGCAAGAGATCCGTCAGCGGTCAGGTATTGCTATGATTTTCAGAAAGGCAAGTGCACTCGGGATAATTGCATTTACAAGCATGAGAAAGACCCAAGACCCCCGAGCCAAAATCCGAAAGGAAAAGGTCGGGGGCGCTCTGACAGCCAAGCGAGAGACAGGGATCGGTCGGCATCGAGAAAGAGAGCGGAACTGAAGAAGATTCCCTGCAGGTTTTTCAAAGGCGGTCAGGGGAAATGCACTCGTGGAGACAACTGTGCGTTTTCGCATGAGACTCGGTCTGCTGCACCAGCAACAGATAAGCCGAGCCCAAAGAAAGGAGCCAGCAGAGGTAGGTCTCCCACCCCAAAGGGAAAAGGGAGGAAGCGATCCCAGAGCAAAAAGGGCGAGTCCTCAGCCGCTGTGTGTCTGAGGGTGAAAGAGACCAATGCATGCCTCGCAGCATGCCGCCCAAAGCAAGATTTCTGGGAAGTTGACTCGGTGAACGAGATGGTTATTCGACACCATGTGATGCCTCGAAAAGCGCTTTATGATCCGAAGAGTGCAAAAGACCTTCCGATTTCGCTGGAACGTTTATTGGATCAGCGCATCACCAAAGCCAACATCAATGGCAAAGAGCAAGTATTTGGTGATTTCTGGGCGGATCCTGATGAAGGTTTGGAGCAATACTGGACTGGGCAAACAATTTTCATTTGCAGTACAGATGTTTCCAATACCCGCAGATGCGTCAAATTCGCAGACAATGTCGAGATCGTCGAGATCGAGGCCAACGGGCTATGCCTATCATGTGCTCCAAAGCCGAATGACCCTGAGGTTGTGTGGTATGATGGTTGTGCGCCTGGCTCAAATCCCAAGGGATCTGATCGATGCTAAAGACAAAGCTTTGATTCTGGAAGGGGTTGTTGACCTGATGCATGCAAACTACAACGCGCCTTGTGGGTTCTATTGCGAATACTATGATGACAATGACCCAATTTATTGCGGTTTATATTGTCCTGGCTGTTGGATTGATGATGATGAAATGAACCTTGACGATGTGCCGGAGTACATTGCTACGCCAGCACCAGCAGGGCTTCGTCAGTGGATTGTCGACACAGGTAGTGAACAAGATCTGGTCGACTCTGAGCGTGCAGTTACACTTCAAAAGAAGATAAATCCTGCATTGACTCCAATCAATCTTTCAACAGCAAATGGATCAATTTGTGCAGACAAGATTGCGGACTTCTCCATTGATCAGTTGAACGAGGTCGTCACTCCGTATGTTTTGCCGAGCACACCAGCTGTACTTTCTGTTGGTCAAAGATGTTTGGAAAAGGGGTACGATTTCGTATGGAGAAAGAACAGTGCTCCGTACTTTGTTCGACCTGACGGGAAAGCGGTAATATTGAAGCTCGATGGGCGAGTTCCTTATGTTGACGATCAGTGCGAGGTCATAGCTTCTGAATCAGCTATGCCTGTTGCTCTTGCTGCATCCGATCAGAAGATCGGGGGCGTTGAAGTGCCTTCATCTTCAAGCGGAGGGCAACCTCCGCCGGATGCTGCATCGTTTCCATTGCGCCCTGATGAAGCTGAACCGCTGGAACCGGAGTTTGATCCGGAATTGGAGGACAACCCTGAGGTTGAAAAAGCTCCAAAACCGATGTCAAAGCGTTCAAAAGAAATGATGATGCGTGAGGCCAAAAGTGAAGAGCATCTTTTCACTCACAGGCCCAAGAACCCCTTTTGCGAAACGTGTGTGCGATCAAAGATGCAAGCACCTCAGGCTCGTCGCAGACATGGATCTTCTTCGGTGGATGCAAAAGCATTTGGAGATCATGTGACTGCTGACCACGTCATTTCAAATGATGAGACGTACGGGTTCAAGGGCGAGTGGAATGCTTTGGTCGTGAAAGATGTGTTCACGCAGTTCCGGTATTTTTACCCTTCAGCAAGGCAAGATGCTGACAGTTGCGTTCGTGCATTTCAACATTTCACGAAGCCAGATGATCATGTTGGGATTTTCTATTCTGACAATTCTGGCGAGATTGCAGCTGCAGTAAAGAGTATGGGTTGGAGACACGTGCTGAGCCAGCCATATGTCAGTCAATCTTCCGGGGTGATCGAGCGCGAGATTCGTACAATTCTGGAGGGAGCAAGAGCAAATCTGTTTCAAAGTGGTTTGCCGGTTGAGCTGTGGCCTTTGGCAGCTCAACATCATGCATTTGCTCTCAATGTTACAATTCCAGATGACAAGGATAAGTCGCCGTGGGCTTTGCGTTTTGGTGATGAGTTTCCTGACACGAAGATTCCATTTGGTGCAAAATTGTCGTATTGGATCAATCGTCAGCGCGTCGATTCGAAGCAGTCCAAGTTTCTGCCAACTTCGGATGTCGGCATTTTTGTTGGCTATCATGTGCAACCTGGCTTTACCTACACCCATGAAATTTTGGTATTGCCGCTCAAGAATTTGCCGGACAAGTTGCGGACGGGTGACATTAATCCCCTCCGCGTCAAGCAGTATGAGTTCAGTCTGCTTGATGAGACGTTTGTTTTTCCCGCAAAGCAAGCTATTGCCGACGACAAACCGTGTTCTCCGGATGAATTGGAATATGAGCCGGAGTCATATTTGCAGCCTGGCGAAGCATCTGTGCTGGAGGAGGTTTTGATGCAAGATCCTCCCGCACCTGCCGAGGGACTTGCTGATCACGATCCTGATCACATGCCGGATGGGTCGGCAGTTCCACCTGGGTTTCAATGGGATGGT